AGCCACTCTGACGGCACTGGAAGGCCTAGGGGTGATGTACTGTGAAAGGCACAATGGGAGAAGCATTAACAAGAGTGACAATAAAGCCTTTCCCTTTTGACAGGAGACACCACATGCCATCCTCTAAACACCAGTATGAAACTAGCACGCAGTGGTTCATTTTCATCATTCATGCCATACATCAGCAAATACGATGGTAGGACACAGATCAGTTCTTCCAGCTCGTGCTTTTAACTACAGCATCAGGGAAGAGCAGAGGAAAAGAAAAGCCTGCAGAGTTTTTCAGCCAGCCTAGAATCTCTCACACAAGAAACAGACGAGCACAAACATCTACTGACACAAAAACAAGTCATTTGCAATTGCTGTGCAGTAAGTTGCAGAAACAGGTCCGAAGAAAATGAGTAAATTAAAATCCAGCAGAACACTTCTTCTACATCAAGAAACAAATTTATTTCATTGGAAAAGGCCCAGAACAAGACCAAGGCATGATCTTTCCCTCAGTGAGCCACACAGTAAAGCATTTTACTCATGGATTGCAGAAAGGCAAACATTTTACATTAAGCACCTGAAAAGCTTTCATCAGCCTACATTTACTGTTACTTTGTATTCTTAGATTTTTCTGGTTTCATATTATTACATAAAATACATGAAGTAAAGATGAAGAAAGTTAAGGTTATTATCAAAACCCACCAGAATTTACAATATTTTACACTGTTAACACACTCTTCCCTGAGGCACACAGAGAGACACACTGCCTACCCCACATACCAAAATGACATCAAAATCAAAACAAGACAAACACAAAAAGAAGAAATATCGTAAGTGGAGGACAGCAGAAAATTCATTCTTTCTCCTGTCCATCAACCCCAAATAAAGTAGGCAGAAGAGCAGTCAAATCACTGAAATTGATGTCACATCAATTGGAAAACTGACTGAGCCCATACAATTGCTCTCCACCAAATTCATGGGTTCAAGCTGTCTGTTTCCCATCTGCTCCTCTGCAATTTAAGCAATTCTGAACTTCACTCTCTGTACCCAAATGTGTCACAGATTTATCTGCATGTCAGGGGCCAATTCTCTACATTCTCCACTAAGGCAAGCTATTAGGGGGAGCAAATTTTCTGTGTTTATAATTGCCAGGCCAGGAAAATTCACGGAGGACAATCACACACGACCTTAGTAAATCCACCATGAAAAATTAATTAGATAACACAATCCCCCACCCCGCCATCTTTTTTAAAAAGGCCATTTTGTTCTCTTCTTACATGTGTTTAAAGACATGTTTAGTACACATTAAAGAATACTGTAACAAGCTTACAAAAAAATCTAATTTGTGGGCTTTTTTTTGCTTATATGATGAGCTCCCTCATCCGTCTGAACTCCTGATAGATAAGGACCGGGATCCTTCACTAGCATATATGGGGTGGCCAGTCTTTAAATGCTTTTCAGCAATGAAGGGGAAGAAATCTTATTAAAAACCACAAACACCTGCACACCGCAGTTCAGTTTGCAGACAGGCTGTCAAGTATTCTAGTCTTTGTTCACAGTTCTCTCACCGCCTAAAAAGCTAATTTAATTAATTCCAAACATACTTAATAATTTGTAATTTTGCTACCTTAACAGAATGTATGCTCCATTTAAAAATGCAGCTGCAGATGCTCTCACAGGGAAGACCAAAGTACGATGTTCTCATCCTGAAATTACACCACTGGTGATGAGATGTTGTAAATGAAAACCAGACTATGGCTCTACATGACAGACAACAACATAAACAAATCTGAGCTCTAAATTCCAGATTTTATCAAATACTCTCTAATATTTAATGGCAATGTATTTTCCATATTAACATATGTCTTATGGTATGACTAATCCCTGCTTACATCATGTGTGATATCTCAAGTATCTCAGGTTATTCTCTTTGTTTTGGTCAATAACTTTGAACTCTGATATTCGAGAATTCATTTCACTTGTCTAGACTACCCTCCTCTCTTCCACTGGTGGACCTCTTACCATTATCAAGAACTTTGAAATGCATAAGCAAAGGTTTGCTATATTTTATATATATATTTATGCATATAAATTAATGTCAATACTCATATTGCATTTTATGTTGTATTAGAAACTATTTTTGCTACACCTAAAACTACATAAACTTTACTCTCTTCATAAATAATCTGCATTACTCTTCATCATAAAGTCACTTCAGATCCTAAAGGATTTTAATTTGGTGAAGCATTTTGGCACTGGCTGTGTTGTTGGAATATACAAAAATGCAGTTTTGACAACAATCAAAACACCTGTTGATGACAAAAATACAAAACTCACAGATGTGTAATTGTGTATCACCTACAAGAGTTAACTACATATATAGCAGAGATGGTACTAAAGGGAAACCAGCATAGTCCCTAGAAGAGATAAAACATTTTTTACATTATTAAAAACCACAAGTTCTTAGCCCTTGTGGTAAAACACTGGAGTAAATCAGTATGCCTCTGTCCTCTGTGTAACAGCAGAATTTACACCAACTGAAAGACATGGACATTTTCAGTTGTCCCTCTTTTATCCTGACTTATACTGAACATTTTCCTATACACCTTGGTGTAAGCAGTTGAATAACCACGTGCACTTCTAGGACTAAGAGCCACCTGCATAGGAAACCTGCCATAGGTTGGTTAAAGCAGGAAAAAAACACACCAAAGCTCAGATCCTAGATGAACAAGCAATCTGACCTCTGAAATTCCTAGCCAGACTTCAAAAACACCTGGAGCCCTACAAAAATGATCAGCACAACTTAAGATGGAACCTATGTGGGCCACGGCCAGCAAGGAACAATGCTCATTAGTAGTTTGCAAGCTTGTATTTATTTTTAGCAGAGAAAAAATTAGGAAGTAAGAAGGAGGACAGGCTTCACAGTAAGCCTGAAGCCACCTGAATGTGTTAAAACCCATAAATCAATAAAGAGAAAGATAAGATAGCATACTATCAGTTTCACCTCTATATATGCTTCCACCAGAGAAATGTCACAAATACACACCCAAGTAAAAAGGATACTAAGGTGAATTTAACACAATACATTTTTGTCCACCAGCAAGTCCTTACAAAGTTAATAAAAAAACCCCAACTCTCTAAACCAGCTACTTTTAGATAGACCTTAGAAAATTGGGAAACATGAAAGACATGGACAACGCAGTTTCAAAATTTCAAAAGGAGAGACTATATGAAATGGCAGGCACAGGTTTTTATCAATAAATGTAATACATTAATGAGAAGTATACAGAATACACAGAATACACATTTTTGTAAGATTGCAAGATAGTGGATAAAAGTAACAGTTTGCTGGAGATCTGTGACTTCAGACATCTGTCACTAAGGAAAAAAGCATTTAACAGCAAAACCAGCACTAACGACAATATAATGGACATACCCAAACTGCCTACTTTAAGTAAGTAGGCTTACTTAAAGATCTCTAAACATACCTACAATAAGGACTCATCAAGGAAGATTCTTGCTAGTTCAGTGTTGCTAATAGTCACAAATACAGAATAATTTTAAAAAGCAGGTAATTAATGGAGCTGTCATTCTTTACTATTTCATCTGGTCCATCTGCAATGACCAGAAAAAGCCAAATAATGTGAGCACAATCGTGCAACATGGATTTAATTGAAAAGCAAGGCTGTACATCACAGAAAGATGACGTGATAGTTACAGAATGAGGAGCTGTACTCTCCCAAGTGGTGTCATCCGTGTCCACAGCACTGGAGCTGCTCTGAAACACTGCTCCAGCGCCAGTGCACGAGGAGCAAGGGACTGCTGAGCCTCATACCCTTCTTCACACTCACAAGCAATGAATCTTGCTTGAAAAACTCTTTTGAAGTGACTGTTACGTTGGCTCTATTTGCATCATATTTAAATTAAGTTCAGCTGTGAAAATGATGGGTGAGCGAGGTTAAATTCCAATTCTCTCTCAACTCACGGGATTTCACACAGGAAAATTCAGCGGGGGGTGCGTATTAATTCACACGTACGGACAAAGAACCAGACTGTCGCACATACTCGGCGTTCTGTAAAGGCTCGCTGTCGGGAAGCAAAACTCTTTTGCCCAGCACAAGGACAAGCTGCGTTCCGAGCCGCTGAGGAGCGATCGCTGCTATGAAACTCGTGTCAGGGGAGTGCATTACAGAGCGCTGCGTGCCGACCACGCCGCACACCAGCACACCGCGCTGTGACTCACACAGGGCCGCGGCACCGCGTTTTGGGTGTCCGCACCCCAACTGCGGGGCCAAGACCCGCTAAGAGAAAAAAAAAAATTCCCTGGGCGCTCCCAGGCCTGCGGGGCCCGCCAGCCGCCCGGCCCGCTAAGGGCAGCGCTCCTTCCTTCCGTCCTTCCCCAGCCGGGCCCGCAGACCGACCGCGGGAGCAGCCCCGCACACAGATCCCGCATCCTGACCACGGGAGCGGCCCCGCACACGGACACTGCCCGCACAGACCCCGGGAGCGGCCCCGCACACAGACACTGCGCACAGACCCCGGGAGCGGCCCCGCACACGGACACTGCCCGCACACCCCGGGAGCGGCCCCGCTCACAGACACTGCCCGCACACCCCGGGAGCGGCCCCGCTCACAGACACTGCGCACAGACCCCGGGAGCGGCCCCGCACACGGACACTGCCCGCACACCCCGGGAGCGGCCCCGCTCACAGACACTGCCCGCACACCCCGGGAGCGGCCCCGCTCACAGACACTGTCCGCACACCCCGGGAGCGGCCCTGCACACAAGGCCCCGGAGCGGCCCCGGCGCGGCCCCCGCGCGGTGCCGGCGGAGCGGCGGGGCCGGGGCGGCTCCTCCCTCGCCGCTCGCCTGCCCCCCCCACCCCGCACGTCCTTCCCCGCCAGCCCCTTCCTCCCGCTCCCCAGAGCCTTTTCCTCTCCCCCTGTCTCCTCCCTCCCTCCCCCCACAGCAAGGTAACTCCCAGGAAATATGCAAACCTGTTAATTTTTACCTTCTTTGGCTTTTTTCCTCCTGGCCAGCGTGCCGCCGAGCTTGCCCAGGAAGGAGTCATCCTTCTTTCTGGAAGGGGGAGATTTCGGGGTGGGGGACTTGGGGGAAGAAGGGGACTTCTGCGGGGAGGTTGCCATGCTGGGCCAGCCGCTGCCGGCTGTGGGACGGAGCAGACGGCTCCGAGGCCGCGGAGCCGTGGGAGGCTGTTCCCGGCTCTGAACGGAAGCGGAATTATTTCAAGCATTTGAGGCAGCTCCTGCTCCGCTCTCCCGGCTCTCCCGCTCCTTCCCTCCCTCCTCCCGCCCTCCCTCCCGCCGGGGAGGGCCCGCTCGCCTCGCACGGCTCCCGGTGGCCCCGGGCGGTGCGGGAGCCACTCCGCTCCCGGCTGCGGCACGCTCGGCCTTGGGGGCCCCGAGGGAGCCGGGGGCACGGGGCAGCGGCTCGCCCCCTCGCAGGGGATTCAGGCACATCGGGGGCTGGGTGGGTAAGTGACCCAGGGTAGGGTGGTGCAGGAGGGTGCCGGTAACGTGGGTGCTGAACGGTGAAGGTAGGTGTGGACACAGTGCCGCGGCTCACACCGTTCAGCTCATCCTCAGCTGCCCCAGGGTGAAGGGCCTGAAGGATGGCAGGGTCACACTGCCAGCAGATGTTTCTCTATCCTGTGCGCAGCACCGCTAGAAAAACAGAATCACGGTCAGAGTTGGAAGGGGTATTAAAGACATTCTAGTTTCCAACACGCTGCCATGGGCAGGGACACCTTCAGTTAGACTTGACTGTTCAAAGCCCCATTTAACCTGGCCTTGAACACTTCCATGGATGGAGTGTCCAGAGCTGCTCTGGAGAGCTTGTTCAGAGCCTGACCACCCTCCCAATAAAGTGTTTTTTCCTAATACCTTGTCTAAACCTACATTTCTTCAGCTTAAGGCTATTTACCCTTCTTCTGTCACTACCTGCCCTTGAAAGACGTCCCTCTCCAGCTGTCCTGTGATGCCCCTTTAGGAACTGTAAGGCTGCTAGGTCTCCCTGAAGCATTCTCCAGGCTGAACAACCCCAACTTTCTCAACCTGTATTCATGGGAGAGGTGCTCCAGCCCTCTGAGCACCTTGGTGATCTCCTGTGAACATGCTCCATCAACTTCATCTCTCTTGTGTTGGAGGCCCCAGATCTGGACACACAAAAGAACTTAGGAAGTAATAAAGTGTCCCTAAATAGTTTCCTGCAAGTTAAAGTTCAAGCTTACTACAGACATTTCAGTGTGGATAACATTTTGCAAAGCTCTTGGCCTGCAGTTTTCAGCTGTGTCTGTGGTGAGAAGCAGTGAGCATCGTCATATCCACTTCTACAAAGCAAAACAACTGTTGTAGTCAGACCAGTATAAAAAGCCTGTGGAAGGAAAGGTGACTTAACATGATAGATTGCCTACACCAACCCTGCTTTGATTTGCAGATGAGCAGCTTAAGGGAAGTTTAAAACAGATAATTTGCTGTGACTGGTTCAGGAGGCATCCAGGAGTGGAACAGCATTAATGTCATCTGGATGCACTACTTTCACTTACCACTTAATCACTTGATTAACAATTCAGGCAAAAAGCCACACACACTTCATGCAAATATCTAGCTATCCATTAGGCATAATAAGTGAAATGAAATTACCATGAGGATATTTCTAAATCAGCTAATAATTGTTGTGTTTTTACAAGCTGGTAACATTGGTTAGCTGATGAGGGATAGACATCAATGTCTATTTGTTGCATGCAGTTAGTATGTGCCCTGGAAAAAAAGCTCTATTCATCCATCCTGCCATCAGTTATAAGCAAGAATGAGCCCAAGGCTTAGCACAATCCTTTCCTTACATTTGCTCTCTGGTTCTAGCACCAGTTATTGTCTGGGGCCTCTGGTCTACGAATTTCAGCCCAAATTTCACACATAGTTCTCTTTTTGCAGAAGTGCTGCTTATACAGTATATGTATCATTTTAAATAACATAATCAAAGACAGTTTCAAAAGGAGAAATACATCAAGCACTTTTTAAAATATGCTTGTAAATCTGTGGTATTTACAAACAGAGCAGTGACCCAGCTGAATTTCCATTTGGAGCCAAATGACTATACAAGGATGTCAATATAAGATTTTGTGGGCACAGCAGAAGAGAGAACATTTTGGTAAGCACAAGTGCACTTGCCTTTGTACCCCTGTGTTTGTGGTAAATACAGAAGGAAGAAGCCAGATACCTCACAAAGAGCAGCGGGTACTGGGCTGTGCAGTACAGGCTAGTCAGAATTCAACATGCATTTGCCAAGTCCCTCACAAAACTCTATTTCTCAACACTCAATATATGTAAATGAATTATAAATATAGTATTACTTATTTGATAGCCTCGTGAACTGTGGGAGTTGGACATCACAAGGGGAAAAAATTAAATGAAACAATGTGTTTAAGATGAACTTTATCAGATCTGGAAACTCAAATACTGTGTGCTTTAAGTAATGATGCTAAAGCAACAGCCAGATCCTAAGTTTATAGTTTTGATTTTGGGATTTCTTTCAGGATTTAGTAAATAAGTTAAAAAAAAAAAAAAAGATTTGTGTGTAACATTAGTGCAGTATTTTTCCAGTTGTGTTGTTTCTCTTTGAGGATAGTTAAAACATATTCCCCCTGTATCTGAAATTTAGAATTACATATGCTACCTTTTTTTTTTCTTTTTATGGAGGAATATATATGAACATATAGCCTTAAAGTAATACTGTATTCATCACAAAAGGCTTTATAGATATACACAAGGTCTAAGTTATGGCCTTAAATTAATATTGCATTAATCACAAAAGGCTTTGTAGGTATTCACAAGGTCTGAGTTCTGGCAGCTATGGGCATGGAGTTTGCTCTGCTCTATATTTGACTACAGAATACTTCCAGGATCATGCTCCACGAGCCCAGCACAGGACACAGCAGTCAGCAGGCTGCTGTTCAGGCTGGCCCTGCGGCACCTGGCATAGAGAAATGCAGAGCAGACCATGGGAGCTCGCACCACGCTCCCTGTCAGTGCCTTGTTCGGCCTGATGAGCCAAACATTACATCAAATTAATTGTATCCTGCTCACATGTGTACTTTTGCCAGGCAATAAAAGGTGACTAAGTCCCCTCCCCTCCACCCTTCAAATAATTCTCATTCACCTGCATATCTGTCCATGCACAGCTGTTTTTTATTTCTTTTAATATGAGACTCAAAATGCTCAGGAGCAGAGTTTTACTTTCCCAATGAAACAGAAGAAGCAAGGTATATAATATCCCACCCACGGGCTAGGCTAGCAAGAAAGAGCAGCGAGCATGGTTAAGGCTGTGCAATAAATCATCCCCTTGCCTTTGAGTATTCCCCTATCATTTTTCTCCTAGGTGGTAGCTCTGCTCCAGCCTTTTGACCATTAGGTCATTTAAAGAATGGAAGTGGAATTTTTAAAAGTGATTTATCATCTTGCTGCTACTGCTGTGCTTGCCTACAGGAACACCCTTTGCTGGCTTCAGGAGGAGGAGAACTAGACCAAAGTCTACAAATTCTACAAAGTTTTATTTTCCTAAGCACTTGCAGTCAGCCCTGTGCTGGCCTGCCAGCTCTGTGTGGTGAATTGCTGAACGTGCCCACCCCTCCCTGAGTTAATAGCACAGTGAAGGGGCCTGCTGGGCAGAGAAGGTGTTTCCACACCATCTCAATGTGGCTGCCTCAGAACAGCAGAAAGCATCGTATCAAGGATAAAAGGGCTCCAAATTTTCATTGCCAGCATCACCTGAAACTCACACTTGAGGATAAATTTCTTTCCAGCTCACAAGATGAGATTAAGATTGGACATATTTTCGTATGCTGGAATTTAAAGCACAGCTGTGATTTCTACTCTAACTTCTTTGGTAAAAGAATATTCTGTTTAAATAATATAACAAAAAAAGATTGTTTCATAAAAGTAAGAGAGTATTTCCAAACAGATTCTTAAAACATGCAATGAAATTTTGTTGTACATCAAGGAGCAAAACAGATGCAATGAGGAGAAATGTACATGAAAGATAAAAGAGAACATGTTGTATACAGCCACAGAAGTGAATAATGTGAAAGCTTCAGAGGAAAGAAAGTGGGTTTAAAACTTTTTGGTAAAATGGGAACATCATCTTGGTATTCCCTACTTTTGGTAACATGTTGTTATCTCAATTAGTTGTTTACAAAAACTGGGCCAAGTTTACTTGCATTTGCAACTGTTCTTCTTGAGAATCAGTATTATGATTTTTTTTTTCTTAAGAAGTTTCAGTTGTACCCTTTGTTTGGGTCTGTAGTTATGTAACACAGGTGTGTTACACGAATATTCCAGCAAGCACAATACTGGCATGCAGCGCTATCAGGTCTCTTCATAGTTCATTAGAAGCAACAGAAGAAGCCACAATTTTTCTCATAAATATCAGGCAAAGAGATCTGGGTGAAATCCAACAAATACCTTGCCCATCGTGAAGTGTTTGCCAGGGCCCAGGCTCCTGAGATGTGGCTGCCATGAAGACTGAAGGAACTGCATTTGCATGCTACCATGGCAAACCCATTGTGCTAAACAATGCCAAAATGTGCAGTCCATGCAAAGCCCAGCAGGGACAGCTCTGGATCTTAACAGCAGCAAAGTTGTAAAAGATACACAGAGTCTCCCATGCCACATCCTGTTACTTGCTCAAGTGTGTCTTTCTGGAAATGACTACTAATGTGAGAATCTCAGTTGAAATCAGACATGCATTGGGCTACAAAGCAGAAGTTTCAAGGCACAAGACCTCTAAATTTGTTTCCTATGGTCAAACACACTGCAAATCCAGTCAGGTGTCCCTTTGCCTTGGAGACAGATTGATTGGTCTTGATTCAAACAATAATTTACAAAATTGTTTTCCCAAGATTTTTATAGAATCACAGAATTGTTTAAGTTTGAAAAGACCTTTAAGATCAAGTCCAGCCATTTAGCCAGTACTGCCAAATCCACACTAAACCATGTCCTTAAACACCAACTGAGTTTCTTTGGACCTGTGATCTTTTGAAGAGGGGACAAGGAGGGAGTGTGCATGTACTGAGATTAGAAGAGCCTCAGTAAATTCCTGTGGTGACATTTGTATTCTGCTCCTGGGACAGAAAAGTCCACAAGATGGAAGGGAAAGGACATGACAGTGAAAGGAAAATCTCAGTTCAAAGATGCCAGAAATTACATTGACCTGTGAAGAGAAGCAGCTGTCCTGTGAGAAGGAGAGACCTATCAATCAGTCCAGAGTCATTGAGGAGGGGACAATCA